TCTGAATCCATGCGATTTAAGTGAGTCAGCAATTCCTTAAAACCCTTAAAAATTGAAATAAGGGGAAGTTACATAAAATAGATTACCTCTGGAAGACATTGAGAATTCGATTAGAAGAATCGGGTTAGCATAATACCGCGACATGGCTGTGCATTGCTGGTAAAGCCGACCAGAATTGAGAGATCCTATCAAGTCGCTGACCGACTTTCGTTCCACACACAAGTGGGGAGCCAAAATGTAATCGGCTACGAGAAGAGTTAAAGGCTCCACCTGCAGCAAGGTAAGATAAATATTTAAAGGAGTAATAAATATGTACAAATCAACCCTTATAACCAAACTTATTTTTCAAAATTTTTCGTCATGAGGTTTGGGCACAATCAAAGAGACGAGCCCTGACTATTTCAAATGCTCTTTGAAGTGAGACTAAAAGTATCAAAATGATTATAAGTCAGGGTTTGTCAAAAATATGATAAGTTCTTTTATCTGAATCAATAAAGATATGATACTTAATTTGAAATTTTTTTCAATGCAAATAAGAATAAGAGGAGAAAGATAGATAAAAATGATGAAAAGTAAGAAAAGTCCAAAGGAATATACAAACCTTAATGCCCTTTCGATAGAGCAAAGCAGGTAACTCGCTGCGGAATTCTCTCATGTCAACGATTACTCTTGGTATGCGTTTCTCAATTACCAATGAGTTGGTTGAGCCCAATTGATCAGATAATACGTCTTCGTCGATAGGAAGAATGAAGTCTTTTGGAACGACAATGCGACTGCTTAACTTTATGAGGGCTCCAAAAGCCTCACGTTCCTAAAAAGATAGTGAATAATTCATCCAGAGCAATCTTGCAAAATTGATAAAATGAATAAAATATCCTAAAAGTAATAAGTAACAGGAAGTATTTCCCTCGATAAATAAGTAAAATCAGAGTCTTGCAGATTTTTAACGGTACTATTCAAATTGGCTTGCAAAAGATGAGCATAAGATAAAAGATAATTTGAGACTAATGAATAGCACCAACGATAGATTCTATAAGAAATAACTGGGAAAGCTAAATTAAATACAACTAAAGGTGAGGAAACAGTAATTGCATCTTATCGCAAAGATTAGGAAGACAAGGTTCACAGGATAGATGCAAGACAATAAGGATGAAGATGAAATTAAATATATTAAATTTCATCATGTGACAAGGCTTTGCGATAATTCATGTGGGCTCTTTACAGGCCATACTAGAAACTACTAGGCCAGTAAAGAGCTAGTCAGTGCTCAGGATGAAGTCCCTTAAGCCAAAAAAAAGGATTTGAGAAAAAAGAATAACTTTGAAAAGACCAACTCACACGCCTCAGGCAGGTCAAGTAGCGCTGTTCTTCCAAAGAATCAGCCAGCACCATAAAGTAAACAGTAAAGCCTGAATCGTTATAGACAGTCTTTAAATTTGCATCTACAGCCTTCTGTTCTCCGATTCGTTGCGTATCATCTAGCACTTCAGCCTTGCAGCGAGCAGAGTGAACCTCAAGAGTGCGCACCCAAGCCACTTGGGGTTCGAAGAGGATCACATGTTTGGGTCGAAGAGTGCGTAAGGCATGTGATAAACGATAACCACACGGAGACTGTAAAATGCCACAAGAAAATCGGATAATAACTTAGGAGGTAAAACTGATTGTTCCTGCAGCTTTCAAGCTTGAAAACCAAATCCGTGTTGAAGATAAGCCTCTGGCTTATGCAAGTCACATAAGTGTTTATTTTTGACGCCCACAAGAATAAAATATTATTTGGAATAATAAAAATCAGGTAATAGCTGTAGATGGTATTAATAAAATATAATCCTGGAGGAACGCAAATCGATTAATGACTTAAACATTAGTAAAATAAAAAAGATGCTT